CTTAAGAAATTTTAATAATTTACAGGCAACCCTTAAGAATTTGGTTAAAATTCAGGCGACCCCTCAGAAAACCTCATCCATAGGGGGGGGTGTATATTAAATGGAATGGCCCCATGCGTGAGAATCACTCCGCAACCTTGCCAAGAGGTTCGTTTTGGAAGTGATATAACGGCGTTTAATTCCTTCTCGCCGAAAGGAATTTTGATAGGAACCTGAAAAAGAATAAAGCAAGGATATGAAGTTGATGTCAAGTTTAGTAAACGAGGTTTTAAAATGAAAATATTGACATAATTTGACGTCGTACTTGTTCAGAATGATCTGCCATATTTGTTGCTATGGTCGATGGAATATTTAATTAGGTTCGTTTCCGGGGGGGGGGGAGGGTTATGAAAATGGTTATCAAGGTCCCAAAAATGAACCCTGTGACTTCCACCTTAGATTTTTTATTAGTTTTCGGTGTCGTACACGTTTCACAGTATATGTTATTATAATTCTTTGAAATTAAAAATACAACCAAAACACATGGCTTTTTCTTATTTGTATTTTATGACAATTTAGTCTGCATTAAATAATTCTAAATAAACCAGATATTTTATCTAATAAAATCACATTTTAAAATATGTACATTTATGTAAAGCAATCAATTAATACTGACAATGCATGATGAGTTTACAAACATACTGTTTACACTATCCAATTATTTTAAACTAACAATATTTATGAATATAATAAAATTAACAATAATGATTTTTGAGATCACAAGCCTTCGGCTGCCAGACTGTAGCCAAAAAAATTATGTTCAATCCTGGTCGGCTTCCAGCATTTTTAAAATTAACACTGTCAATGATATTTTCCATAGTCAGTGTCATCTAGATCTCTCTTCTCTTCCACAGACCATACTACAGAAGTCTTACAATATGAAATAAGCTGACAAATTGACTGACTTATAATGAGTAACGACTATAATGTGTATATTTGCCGAGGTATAGTATTAGTTCTTAACATATAAAACTTAGTTTTCCGTGCGTATACGTATGTATGAAAAACGCCAAAATGGAATGTAGTCCAACTTACTCCAATTAACAACAGTGAGCTACTATTATGTACTTTGGTACTGGGGAATTCAAAACTATACGAAAAATCGTCTGCTCACTGCATGGGACCATTACGGACTTCGAATCTTGTATACAGACAAACCAGTCCAGGTTTTGCTGTGATTCCCATTTGTCTACCCTGTATAGGGTTTCCTAAAACGGGCACTTATGTAGGTGATGAAATGCCACAGACCACGAATTCACGACGGTGTCTCGCATGAAATACCATCTGCATCCTCCGACCTCCATACGAGGTCACCTACACACTAGTCTCATCCCCCAACTCTGCTAAAACACGAGTACTAAATGCTCGAGGCACTTGCTGTTGTCTTCTCTCCATCTCCCTCTGCTGTTTTCTTCTCTCAATCTCCCTCTGCAGAGCCTGTCTGTATTCCTCGTATTTATATACGACTTGCTCCAAATCTTTCTTGTAGAGACGTTTTAACATCGTCTGAAAGCAGTCCAGGTCTGGGTAACGGAATAAATCCCACTAAAACGAAAACATTGAATTTTTCAATGAACACGAAATATTATTGGACCAGTTTCTATGGTATCTATACTGGTAACGCTCTTGGGAGCAAATCAAAGCTGACATTTTCTTGATAGTTCGTTCAATGCTATGGGCAATAGTTATATCGTCTTTATCGTTTCTTTGCCCACTTTCGTCCAGAAGCAACATTAATGAACGGTTTTGTGTTACCTTCAGATATTCATCATATTCTGATGAAGCTGTAGAGTAAAACTGAAGCCATCCTGGTATTTCTAAAGAAAACACAATTACACGACAATAAGCATAGTGATCAAAGTATTTGAACAACACTATATCAATATCATTTCTGGTAAATCAGCTTATCATATCTGTCAAGCTCGTCGTATAATATGTACACACTACACAACATATTCATGTAACATTTCTGAGTGCCTCAAATCGGATATACCAATTTAACTCATTTATCACACTCACCAGCGTACATATAGGGATTTGCAGGTACTAAAGAGTTCTTAGAGGGATATGGAAGGTTGTCTTCAACCAGCAAGTGTTTTACAGGATGGTCATACTGAGCTGTCTTCGTTCTGTGACTAAAAACAAAACAATTTCAGTCAGACATATACAGTACAATACATACTGTACACTAAGCCAACATTATCTATACAGTGCTTAGATAGTTCCATCAGTTCTGAACAGTTTACTCTAGAGAATGAGATACAGGAAGGAACCAGTGGTTCCCAGAAAAAACCTATGGTGCTCGGTAAAGTCAAACTGGAAGTACTTTTCTCACATGCAGCTGGGGTGAAGTTAAGATCTGAAAACTGCCTATTGCCTGTGTTACCATACACCTACTTCACGTAATACGTTCCATGTTCAGGAGATTCAACTTTTTCCCAGTCTTCAGGTAATCCTGCAACAATCATCATATTATTGAGAAATAATGTTCTGACATATCAGGAAGATAATTCGAGAAACAAGAATGTGATGGCTTGGGCAAGATATTATGATCTCGAGACAAGAAGATCCAGTCAAGTTAGCATGGATACATCAGTTGTAGAAGGATGACAGACAGTTTGACCTCACACAAGATGTGAATGGAGTGATATTGTGAAAATAGATCAGAAAGTATTAAACCTAAGGGGCGGACCATTAGAAAATATTTTTTTAAATTTTTTTGCTTGTGTCGATAATTTTTTTAAATATAATCTCTTGCACGAATTTTTTTTATTTCAACTTATAATTTTCCCTATTGAAAAGTCTCTGCACGAATTTTTTTTTTCAAACTTTTTTGGTGCACGAATTTTTTTTTCTTTCTGTTTCCCCTGCACGATTTTTATTTTTGCTTTCCCCACCCCCCCATCACTTTTCTAATGGTCCATCCCTATGAGAAGCCCAGGAGAGATTGCATTGACATATCAACGACAAGAAATTATGAGCTACTCTAAATCATATTCATTCCTAAATCAATATTAAGAGTTGAGTAAACTAACCTGCTTTTTCAAATGGATGACACCATGTTGTTGTCTGATTATTATGGCTGAAAGAAAGTTATTAATATTTAAAAACTTAATAATTATTAAAATAACTGAACATAATTTAAACTTCCATAATTATTATAGATTTCCTTACTCAACATAAAATTTTTCTCCATCTAGTGTCCAATCCACTGTCCACCCAGGTGGGAGAGAGTGGTCAAGTGACGTTAACTTGCCTAAAAAACAATCTGATTCAGTACAATTGCTGATTAAAATGACATGTTCTTTCACCTAACTACAAACAGTAACACAGCTCATTAAATACTGAATGCCCTAATTCTGTCTAATGCCAGACAATTTTACTCATTATTTGAAGGTTGGACAACAATGGGCACAACTGGCATAAATCAAACAAACCAAACAAACTGAAATATGTCATCCCTAAATGCAGAACTACCACCTACCAAAAATCTTTCCTCGTAAGAGCGTGCCGAGTTTGGAACTATCTTGCAGATGAACTGAACTTTACTAAGGATACTAGCATTTCTGTGTTTAAATCAGATCTGCTCAAGTATTACTTTACATCACTGAACATTAATTATGATCCTGAAAACTCTCGAACATTTAAGAGTATATGTCTGAAATGTAATTGTATTTGAAGCCTGTTACGTCCAATATCGTGTTGCAGTTGAACTGTAAATAAGATCACACCTGTAACGCATGTATGTGTATATATATGTGTAATGATAGTTTTGTGTCGGGCCCGCAGTAATTGGCTATTCGCTGTTGCGGTCACCCAGCCGTGGTCATGTACCTACTGTATTTCATTATGTACGTTTGTTTTTGTCCTGTCATGTCATGTAATGTACTGTTTCATCGGCAAAGTTTATAAATTAAATTAAATTAAATTAAAATTAAATTAAATGAAACACCAGAAAGCTGCAGATTGAAAGGGATAAATACAAGTAAAACTTCAATGTTTCAAGTGAAGGTTCTTCATTCTCTATCAGGGCCTTTGCTCGAAACATCAAAGTTTCACTTCCACAGCTTTCTGATGTTATTGTCACTACCTATGCTGGCACAAACTGTTCGAGTATAAATGAAATAGTAAGTAGCAAATCAGGGTGGTCTAGATTTTACAGAGGCATATACCAGTCAAATTTTGGTATAAATCATTGATAAATGCTGACTTTTTGGGAGGGTAATTGGGTCTACAGATCCACCTACACTGACACGACCCGACAGTTGTTGTTACTGTACTTTAGTAAATAACGCCTTGTACCTGGAGTGTTTTGTTCCAGACCTGATGCAATTGGTGAATTCCCTTGCCCATGCCATTGCAGCCCTTCGTGTGATGAGTACATCTGCATATCTCTGTTGACTTGTGAGTAGAACCCAGGCCCTGGTGGACTTGATATCATAATTCCTTGACTGCCTGGTCTTTGATTGAAGTTATATATCCTTGAGTCATTTAAATGCGGTTCTGTGTAAGCCGAGAAACTTAATCCGCTGTACGCTTCATATGGGTTTGAGTATGACATCTGTTCTTGATTTGCGACCTGTGAGCTGCCGTACAACTGCATAGGGAACCCAAGCTCATGACTGCTTGAGTCAGATTCTTCTGCAAGTTCATCAGTCATTGTTGCTTGGTCGACTTTTCTGAAAAGCTTTGAGTTCCTTAGCTGCCTGTTTGCAGGCATTTTCTGCCCAAATTGTCTAAAGCCCATACCTTCAACAGCCCGAATATCAGGGTAGCTAGCAGTCTGGTGTCCACTTAAAGGATGGTTGAGCACATTTTCTGATCTACTGTACATTATTGGTTTCACCCCATAAAATCCCATACTGTTCCTCATTTCCCTATATGGCGGGGGATGTCGGTATCGATCTGCTGCGTTCTGAGAATGGCCTCGCTGGATTCCTACTCTATTTGTGTAAGACGGAGGGGATCTATACGATTGCAATACATGATCCATATTTGTCTGTAACCCATTATCTCTTGTATATTGTTTCCCATTTTGTCGAAAGTCCACATCCCTCGAATAGCTCCCTAAGGAATTGCCGGAACCTCTGCTAAGTCTAGAGTCGCTCGAGTTAACACTGAGTCCGTCCGAACCGGACTCCTCAATATACTGAGTTCTGTCCAGAGATGTTTGACCCTTCTGCTCTAAAGAGCTCCCACTGTATAATGACGGAGGTCTATTGTAGTTGCCATTCACAGTTGGCAATTCAATGTATGATTCAGAAATATCCCTTGATGGTATTGGTCGATGTTTGGAAAATTGTGCATCTGGAAAGAACAGAAATGCGGTTCAATGAGTGCACGTGCTGGTCATTCAGTTGCAAAATACAGGTCATTTGTGGTAGATTTATCCTAAGACCATGCTTAGCAATTTAAGCTCTGGGTGAACTAAATAATGCAGGAAAACAGGAAACATTATTTCCACAACAGCAATCACACTTGTAGTATGTTTTTGAATTTGTTGGGAAAGCAAATTTAGTTACCGCATTAGGGTAATTCCATGGTAGTGATGACATTTTTGGAAAGAATTTTCAGAAGCTATTGGAAACAATTCTGAACTGAAATATTAAGATGTACTTTATGTTTAACATGAGTCACGTAACACAAGTCACATGTATTATGTAGCAATCCTTACTATTGTAATCCAAAATATAAAATTCCTTGTATTGGTAGTTTGCCTAACATATAGTCTGTTACTTGATAGACATTGTATGTTTCTCCTTCCTATGGTTCCCGAAGAAATTGAAAAGTAGTTAGGTTGGTGGTACCTCATGTCACTTTGTCGTAACATGAGTCACACACCAATTTACGGCCACCAATCTTATCATGTTATAATCAAATGTTTAATTTTTACTGTGAATCAGTAGTTAGTTTACCATTATTTGTACCTGCATGCAAAAATGTAACAGAAAAAAATATATTAGTTATTACACCAGATCAAATTAATCTGATAATTTATTTCAGAATATGTAACATGAGTCACCATGGAATTACCCATTAATGCTTCTAAGCAGAAACATTCTAGGAAATAAATTTTATGAAATACATTATTCTGCCATGCCAGAAAATTCTATATTGCACTTGCCTATTGACAGGTTAATGATTAACTTAAGCTCATAAGGATTTCCTGTCATACTTAAATGTTCAGAGAAAGAGAGCAAAGCTCTATATTCACATTCTGTTCACACGCCATGACGACTTGAAAGTGGCCGGTGTTTAACAGTCCAGTAAATGTATGAAATGTATTGGTTTCAAAGTTGTTGTCACTGTAGTTTGGTCTGAACTTGAACCTTAGACTAAGTATGTTGTTGACCCTGCCAAAAGCACCTACGCACAGTTGCTACAAGCAGAGAGTCAAATAACAAGTTTATTCAAGCCATATTAAAATAATTCTATTGCTTTTTTATGTTGACAATTATCAAGCCAACTCTATTGTAATAACAACAATTAAAGTATGATTACATATTTCCTGTTCCCCCACAGGCAAACAAAATTGTAGCAAATATAGACCAAAATGAATACATACACAAAAACTGGATCTATAAATATTGTTTGGGTATAAAAAGCGAACATTAATTCACAGAGATTCCTGTCAGCTTTTAGGTATAATTGGTTAAGTATAGATCACTTGTATTATTAATACAAAGCCGTTTCAATCAAACACTCAAGGCGTTTTAATATTAAAACCACAAATGAATATTGTATAAATATAAAAGATGAACTCAAGATGTAATCAAAATAAATTTTCATGCATTTATTGCCAAACCATCACGGTTTTCAATAAAGCACAAACTAAAGCATTAAGGTTTTTCCAGCTCGATCGTCTTAAATTAACGTTACCTCCGCGATTGGAAAATTCTTTACTTCGTGTGTTTACTTTTGCATCCGCTCGACCGAAGCTCAGCGACGAAACTCCATTTTTGTTTTTTTCAGTTTTAGTCTTGTCTTTTTTCTCTTTATTCTTCTTAAAATTCTTGCCAAGAAAAGGCATTATATGGGAGAGGAATCCAGAAACAACCACGCGCTATTTAGCCCATGTTTTGAAGCTTTTTTTCCTTTCAATTCTACTGTATTTATAAAACTCTCCAATCGTCCAGAATTTTTTCGTCTCACCGCAAAGTTCCCTGGCAACAGTAGTGAAATTCCTTAGTTTTCCCAAATTTCCTTAAGTTAATGCATACGTACCTAAAACTATCTTACTTAAATTCCTGTTTTTAAGGATAAATCTTTAAAATTGAGAATATTTCATCGTCAAGTTTCTTCGGAAATGGTCGACAATCGTTCGGAAATTTAATTCGCGTAGTTGTTACTATGGTAACAAAGATAGAAACAAGCCGGCCATGTTGGATCGAAGTGATAGAATAGCGAAATAAAGTTAGTCATGCTTTGTAGGTTTGTTTAAAGCTTTTCAAAATCTCTAGTTTGTAAAATATAGAAGCCATGGAAGTAGATAGTAACTTGGAGACTGAAATAAGAAACGGCAAAGCGTATTTGTTGCAGGAAGCGAGCAATGGAGATAGCAGTTTGTAAGTAACTCAATGTCGACTGTCAGACTGTGTCTTTGAATTTTTGTTTCAAAAGCCGTCCCTTTTATGTTTTGAATAATTTCTGTTCACTTTTGCTTTCAAGATACGAACACTTGGCGTCTTTGTTGGCGCAAATGTTAGAAAAAAGACCAAATGATGCTCTAAGTAAGTTGACCAGACCCAAACTATATTTGTGTATACATTTTGTGTAAAAAAATTACCATGAAAAAGTGTTACAATGTACCACGTTTTGTATAAAATATGTCTGTTTTCCATTCAAACAAAACGTACAAAGTGATATACAGGCAGCAAGCATACCACTACTGGTAATAAACTAGAAAATATTAGTTAAGTTATAATACTAGTAAACAATAAACAAGAAAACAAGTAAATAGGCCAACAAACAAAAAACCTTGCAAAAAAACAGACAACTAAACAAGTAAATAGATAGACAAGCAAACTAGAAAATAGCCAGTTAAATAAACAAACAAACAAACAAATAAACAAACAAACAAACAAACAAACAAACAAACAAACAAACAAACAAACAAACAAACAAACAAACAAACAAACAGACAAACAAGTAGACAGATTGACAAACTGACAGACAAAGAAACAACAAAAGAAACAAAAGCAGATAAACAAATACAAAAACACACCTATCTAAACAGACAAACAAATAAACAAACAGAACAAACAAACAAACAAACAAACAAACAAACAGACAGACAAAAAAGAAACAAATAGACAGTGAAAATGTCATATAGACAGAGAGAAGTAAGAAAAGACTTTTTCTAATTTGCATAATTTGCAAAGAGAAATATAAGCAGACAAAAAGCTAACAAATTTGATCTTTTTATTCAGAGATTTTAGAGAACACAAGTAGGGAAGAAAAGAGAGCTAAATTCAAACCATGTCCTGATGCTTTACAAGTAAGGAATTGCTTGAACATTCTATACTGATCTTTAAATGTGACAGTAAATAACTTAAATACTTTTGCTTGCAAAACCCTGATAGAATTAGTACCTAATATGAAACAAATATATAAAGTAATAATTTCATTCATATATCTTTCAAAGGATCATGACAATGAGTCATCAGAAGTTCTATTGGCAAAAACTCATTCTGGACTTTTTGTGGTACTATATATAGCACTTTTTCCTAAGTTGCAATATTTTAAATTATTTCATTTTTTGTCACTTGACATTGTTATCCTTTACTTACATTCTTTTTCTACTCCTTCTTTCAAAATGTCTGTCTTCCATTAATCTAGTTAAAGTGCCTATGCAACGAAATTTTCACCCCATTTTTTATTGTTTTTCTAAAAAGTACTGCTAGAGTGATGAAGAATGACGTTTACAGTTTCGTCATATCTCATCTCATTCTCAAGTTATCGCACTTTGTATATTTTGAGTTGTGACGTCACAAGTATGAGTTGAGATAATGGCAATAACAAGAAAGTATGATATCTTGGTGAGTATTTAATAAAATTCAATGAAACTTGTTAGACATAGTGGGTGCAACAAAGTCAACAATTTGACTTGTTTATATGGTTGTTATGGCAACACACTCGTCCCCAGTCCATTCTCTTCCAATTTCTATATGATCCATTTTCAACGAAATAAATAGCAATTTCTACAATTTTCGCTTATTACTATAATACGTGTAGGTATTGTGATCAGTTTATACAGTTATAACATGTAAACATCCTCTGCAAGAGGTCTACGGGAGGAAAGTTGTGAAAGGAAGAGAAGAGACTGGGGACTAGTGTGTTGCTATGACAACCACATGACCTACCCAAAATATTCATATGAGTGCACCCACTAAGTGTACCAAGTTTCATTGAATTTTATTAAATACTCACCAAGATATCATACTTTCTTGTTATTGCCATTATCTCAACTCATACTTGTGACGTCACAACTCAAAATATAGAAAGTGTGATAACTTGAGAATGAGATGAGATATGACGAAACTGTAAACGTCATTCTTTATCACTCCAGCAGTACTTTTTAGAAAAACAATAAAAAATGAGGTGAAAAATTCGCTGCATAGGCACTTTAACGTTTACCTGTTTTACATGTTTTATTTCACTCTTTACCAGTCCTTACAATTCTTTCATTCTTCTTCAGTATGACTAATTCCTTTTCTCCTGTCTTCTTCCTTGCTTTGATGCTTTTCCAGTCCTTTTTCCAAAGCTTTCACTTTTATCCCATCCATTCTTTGATTGGTTGAAAAGACCAAACAAAAAAGACGCCCTTATCGTGTTGCAGCGTAAAAATTTTACCAACAGAAATACGACGTGGAACTAAATCGTTTTTGCGTTGACTTCGCGGTTAATTCGCTTTTTCGTTTGGTTTTTGTCACATCACCTCACTCCAATCTCAAAATGTTCACCATCGCTGATCATTACCAACGCGTTTTCCTGACAGCAAAATCCAGCAAACTTCTTGCTGCAAGAGGCTGAGGTTGACCCAGACGAGGAAATCGAAACTCCTCTACCAGACATCATGGAACTGGCGCATTACTTCCATCTTGGTGGCATAGGAATCAGCAAGGAGGAAACGTTTAGAGTCTTCTTAGCTTTAAAGACGTTAGTCGATTCAAATCCAATACTAACTTGTAGGTTTTGGGGTAAGTAATGTTTATTTGCAAAGAGTTTAGATATACCTTTTCTTTATGTATGACTTATCAATGCATGAAATAGAGGTACTGCTGTATCCGGATTCCGGTGATTATTTGTGTACACGATCAGTTATGATATTCAGCGTGAGAAATATCATTTCTTGTAATTCATTTCTTAATGAAACTCCGAACATTTAAATAACTCGCAAGGTAACCAACATTAAAGACCGGCGTACTTTGATCTCATGAATGGTGAAATTTTAAGCAGTCTAAGCGTATATTAAGGGTTAGGTGATCAGCGTATCGGCGCGGGCCTGGATGGGGCACTCCCTTGAATCTTTATGAACGCTAAATACTGCACGAATTATGCCCATTTTCCACTCCGTTATTTCGCCGCCGCTGGCGAAAAATTACATTCATGCGCCGCTGAAGAAATTTGTTCTCCTGCTACAGTTGCTTAAAATTTTCAACTTCTGTTTGATCTTTCGTTGACGGCGCGAAAGAACAACAAATGAACTTTTCCGGTGGCGAAATTTTCGCCAGCGGCGGCGAAATACGTGAGTGGAAAACGGGCTTAAGCTTAAGATGTTCCCGGTCGTCAATGTAATCATGCAAGTGTCAATGGAATCATGCAAGTGAAAGAATAACGTGGGTTATATTTACTAGGTAAAATATTTGGTTTACAAAATAATTACTACATCGCTGAGGTGGAATTCAGAGAGGGTGAAGATCCTGAAGAGCATCATTCAAAAGAGGTGAGCAGAGTTTTCTTACAAAGGAAAGACAGACAGACACGTCACATTGCACGCAATCGTTCATGTTCTTTTTATCGTCTCTCTCTCAATATGTGACTGACGTATCATCAGACTAACTTAAAATCCAATTACTCGCAAGCACGGTACATTCGTTGTACCAAGAAATGTTTTTGTTATTGTTTAGACTGATGAAGATAAAATAGACGAAGAATCGGAGCATATTCTCTCACAGAAAAGTATGTAATTAAAATGATTAAAAAGAAATTTAACAGAGTTACCCAGGTCTTAGTTGCCTGGACAATCACTGCCGAGCTCTTCTCTGTACGGTGAACAGCAAAAATCGTTAAAAATCGGTAATGTGATGTGTTGTTTGTACAGGTCAAGACAGTTTAAATGTCGAAGATGACGAAGATGAAGTACCGAAACCAGACTACAAACCTCCGCCTGAGATTCCGACGGAATATCCAAGAACTGGATGCAATAAAAAAGTTTATTTCCTCTGTACTGAACGTGAGTTGCGCTTGTTACCTACATGAAGTTAGTTCAGTCATCACTTTAAAAACTCATTCATAATTTATGAGGTAAAGACAAAGGAAATCACTGCCGTATCGGTGGTTTTATATGTGATAAAAATATGTTAATTTACAGAAACTTTAGCTTTGATTTTCTCGGCTTGGACAATGTTGATTCTTAAAATTACTTCGCCAATAAGCTCATAAGATGGGTCGCTTTTTAAGCCATTTAAAACACTCGCAGTTCGTGCTTTATCAGATATAAGACACTCGGTTGTCGCCTCGTGTTTTATGTCTGATAAAGCCTGCCCGTGTTTTATATGGTACATCACGCTTGTGTCCAGGGCTTCTGTGGTGAGAGCCACAAGTGCAGAAGCCTGCATGGGTGCGAGGTTGTCTCACTATGGGACTTGATATTAACAGAATCCAAAGATGATGAGTCTTTTCATTTATAGCTGGTCATCCGTGGATGCGGCTACCGCCTGTCACACCATTACAGATTGTCGCCTCAAGACAAATTAAGAAATTCTTTACTGGCAATCCAGAGGCATCGGTAAGCATCTTAGGAATGAACAGTCACCGACCAAAACACTGCCTGTTCTCATGTGAAACGTATATTTAATGTTTCTTGCCGTAGATTGTAAGCTATCCTCCATTTCCTGGAAATGAAGCGAACTATTTACGTGCCATAATTGCAAGGATCTCAGCTTCGGCAATTGTCAGTCCTCAGGGATACTATATGTTTGAAGAAGACGAAGATGAAGAAGACGAAGGAGGTAGATTTAATTTTATTATTGAAATTTATTTACTGCAATGTGCCGTTGCCGAGCCAGAGGCTCATTATACAAGTGATCGACAACTTAGTCACCCGTCTACTTACAATATCGTAATACCGTTTCACTCCGATAACATGCTTGACTCAGCGGTAAGGGGTTGCGCGCTAACCACATTTTGATTCTTGACAATTCCTTCTGTTTCAGTTCGTGATACATTCGTCTCCAATCCCGAGTTTGAAGGACTTAGTGTGGGCGAACTGATTGATGCCTCCTTAACGAATTGGGTTCATCACCTTCAATATATTCTACCGCAGGTAAGGACGATCAAGGTTGTAATGACAACAGGAAAAACCTTGTGTGTTATAATGATCACGAAGATGATATTATTATTGTGATGATGATGGTTAAGCGATGGTTTTGGCGTGATGGTGATGATATGTTGCTAGTCATGATGATGGTGATGATTTAGAAGATGGCCATGAACTCATGATGGTTATGATATTGATGATGGTAATGATGATGATATAGTGATGGTACAATGGTGATTGTGATGTAAGGATGGTGATACGTGAACCGTGAACGCAAAGTGCTCCGAAGCAGATATTACACCTCGAGGGTTGCGAACCTCATGAATGTTAAGCCAAGTCAGTGGTGGAACGAGATTAAAAA